CACAATTAAAAGTAAAGTATTTACCTTCCCACTAGCAGGTGATCTTTTTTCATAATGAATGGAACACTCTCAGATCCATCCAATTTAATGCAAAAAATCTGTGGTCTTTCACACCCAGCCATTATGATAAATGCTGTAATTACAGAACAATAATCTATTAACATATTAAAAAATTTTAATAAAGCATTGCATATGTATGTATACTGGTTATATATTAATAAAATATAGTCAAGTTACTATTTAGTAATTGTCAAGGAAGTAAAAAAAAACTCTTTAAACCCAGTATATATCATTATGAGGCTCTCGAATTCAATTTTAAGCATGACACGTGTGTGTGATAAGTTTATTCTAAAACATTTTGTATTTACTCTTTATTAATTGAATTCCTTTTGTAAATTATATATGCGTATAACAAAATAATGCATTTAAAAAGTTAACAAACATTGCTCCACTTGATTCTATATTTTAAAATCATTATGACTAATGCCTCATAAAGCACTTATTGCATCAAACAAAAGTTTTATCCACTACTAGTGAGTACTTGTTTTAAATGTTGCATTTATTTGTATCATGAAAGGTGCCTTGGCTAATCTTTAGAATATGGTAGCAGGTAGTTTGGCGACATTTTGGTAAGGCGATAAAGGTTACTAGCTAGGACTTTAGCAATAATCTGAGAAGTACACAGTTCAAATCACAGATTATTTTGTCTCAGAGAAATGAGAGATCATGAGACTGTAGCAGGGTTGGTCGCCAAAAAATCGCCAAGTTACCATAATGTAAAGATTCACTGGCGCCTTTCATTGTCTGTATCATTCTTTGTATCTTTACATTTCAATTTGAAAGATTTATCATCCCTTCACTGTTTGCTGTGAATTTCTTTAATATTTTGAGACTTACATATTTCAACCACAGTACGAAGTCCGAGATCCGGATGTCAAATATTCGGAAAGCTATAAAATCCGGGCCTCAAAGCGACTAAAATTTTTTTATTTATTTTGTACAATTTATGCATATGCATTTAACTGTTTTTCCTCCAAAATATACATGCTGAGAGTTCCAAGTCTTAATTTCACTTCGGCACAAAATAAAATACCTCAGAAACAATCATTTTAGCATAAATTTGTGCGATCAATAATTTGACTCCATAGCTGCATATCTGCTTGGCATACGTATCAAACCGAAACATTCTACATATAAACATCGTTGACTTTACACAAAGTAATATATTCCTGACACCAAACTGGCGAATCATTATTTATTATATTTGGCTTTCATCACCGCATGTTTATCAGCACATGACAACTTGTGTAACCACTCATGCAGAGATGCCTAAACAATTATTTTATATTAGTAATTGAATAACATAATTAGAGGTGGGGGAATGGAATTTGCACACTTTAAGTTTCCTTTATTCAACAAATTTCATTTATTGTTGGGAAACATTTTTCTTAGCTAAAAATTAAAAATCAGGAGATTCAATGATCTACCAGCAGATGTTATGAAAAATCGTAAGAGCTGGCAGCTACATACAAATCAGACAGCTATTAATAATATGTCAATACTGCATACTTGTATAATTTGCAAAGGTTTGAAGTACAAAGTTTTGCTTATACACAAATTTTTACAATAAACTATCTTAAAAAAGATTTAGGCCAATTTGAAAAAAAAGTAGCAGGCAAAATACATAGCTTTATGAAGATATGTGTATAATGAATATATAAAATGTATGAAGATACTGTTCGATTTTTTTCACTTATCATCATCATGTTAGCACATGAACAATTGCAGACTTTACACAGCACTACTGGCATTGAGTTAAATGTAAAAATAAGTTAAACAAAAATTAACTATAGTACACACTGAAATATCAAAGTAATTCTCCAATTATCTTTTGTTGTTATTTATCTTGTAAACCTTAATTGATATAGATGAATAAAATGCAGCATTTTCTCTTCTGCGATTTTTCTCTCTGGGAGCTTTCATTCTCTTCTTCTAGCTTTCTTTAATGCAAAATATAATACCTATAAACACACAGAACAGTCTTAATTCATTGTTTATGTTAACAGTAAAAGTTGACAGGAAGACATTAGCACGCTACTAATTATTACTTACTATATAACTACACTGTTAACTATACCGTTATATATAGTATATAATAATACTGAGATTTGGAAGTGTGCATTATCTTGCTGCCTCTAATGCCCACGCACTTCAAGGGTCAACTTTTAACTGTTCTTTAAAGTACAGAATGAGTTTGAGCTTTCCATTAAGATTGGATACAAAGTATTATTGTAGCATTTCAAAAGAGAAGATATAACAGTGTAAGCAAGTAACATCCCCGATTATGCACTTCCATACACATAGCATTGATTCCATAACAAAATCATTTCCTACCCATTATAACGCACACAACAGATAACAAATGAAGAAAAAAAGACTGTATCTTTTCAACATCAAAACTATTTGTTTAAACTTACCATTACGGATAATCAAAAAACTGCTTTCGTGTAACTATCCTAAAATATAACAAAAACTACCAGAAACGGAAGATTTTTATTCCACCAACAACAATGCCTATAAAACAGTGTCAATTCAAATTTCACACGTCGGAAGTGTTGCCATTTACCTCAACTACAATGATATATAATTAGGATTAAGCTGCAACTTAATTTTTCTATTTTGGCAAATATACTGTCGAATTCAAATATTATTACAGTCCTTTTTCGAATTTCTTAACACTTGAAAAAGATGTCATTATTTGCAGTTAGTGACAAAATTCTATATATTACTAGTGAGGACAAACCACTCTTATCGGTATAGTGGTAAACCCTGTTGGCCGTTGTAAAATGCGTGCCCTAGGCAAAGAATATGCATAAATGTGTATGTACGAATTCAGGAGAGCTATTCATTGTTTGTAGATGCATAATACCTACGTGGAACGGGAACACATAAAATACTGACGAACCAAAAGTCCTCTAGAGAGGTCTGGTGGTAAGGAAAGACCGGTGGGAGATCCTCGGATTCGTCTCCTGTGGTGTTCTCCGAGGAAATTCCACCTCCTCTCTGGTCTAAAATTGGTCGTCTCCTGTGGGGGAACCTTGTTCAGTGTTATTGCTGGTGAGAAGGCTAAATAACCCAGATGTATTGGCGATTCCCGAGGAATGCAGGTTCAGAAAGGTTCCCGAGGTTCAGAAAAATTAGAACACATTGTTGTTAATACAAAAGCTGGATAATTTCTAAGTAATATTATAAAAATGGGGGCAATTTTTTTCACTGTTGCATTTTTTTTATTCAGTATCAGACGAAGAAATTTTCTTATCAGGTACCATTATAAATAAGTTAGAATAGGATTTAGTTAAGCTTTTACTTTTTTTAACATAACTTGTAGATGCACTCAGCAGAGAAACCATCTGAGTCAACCACCACTTAATTAGCTATTACTTTTGATATACATTATGCAAATCCATTTGCTGTTTAATTTTTTCTCTCTTTTTCTGGATTCTATGATTCCATAAGTGTATTTTATTGGATTGAAGCCAAATCAAAATTAACACTTTCCTCGAGTTTCTCCTGCCCTCCTCCCTCCTGGAAAAAAATTCAAAAAATTGATAAATGTGTACAACTTAAGATTTAAGCGCTATTTAAAACTTGAATTAAGAATTAAATAATTTAAAATTATGAAATATCCTAATAAAATGTTCTAGAAAAGAAGAAAAATTAAATATTATTTTCGTCAGGTAATAGTATTTTGAAATTAGCTCATACAATGAGCTAGTTCAATACTCAACTGGTAGCTAATAACACTTAAAAACAACTCCTTGAAATATGAAGAAGCATCATGTAATGTTATACATATCCATTTAGATTTCTCACTATTTGTTGGTAATTTTCTGTACCCAGTAAATTATAGATATTATCTTAATTATTTTAAGACAAAAATTTAACACTAGCTAGACATTTCATTATAAATTTATCATACTTTTACTCAGAGTAAGATTTAGACTTGATAAGGCTCTAAGCTATTTGAGATATAGGGCCCTTTATAAGTCTGTTATTATATATTCTAATACTACTTATACTACATTTTAATATTTTGGGGGAGTCCTCCAAGAAAGTGGGGTCCCTAAGATATAGCTTGTGTATCTTATACGGAAATCTGGCCTTTTTTTTTTTTCTGAAAACAGATAAGTACGTTTCATTGCCGTAAAGCAATGTTTTGAGTTCACAAACATGGCCGCCACTTGTTAGGTAGGTTTCATTTTGAGACAGTCGAAGAAACTGCAAACCCACCTTCCTTTTATTCTAACCTCGTTGGGGAAACTGAAGATTTCGTCGTCCCTCCTTTTTCAAAAAATGCAATGGCGAAAGGAAAGAACATTTTATTGGTGCTGCACCCAGGGACAGATATACCCTCTTTCCTCACCTAAGGAGTACTGTCTCTGGGAATGACTGATCTGTATCATCAACGCTGACTGAAATTACCTGTGTTTCCTCCATCGAAATAGCATCCTCTTACAAATGTGTAATAAAAGCACTTGGAGCTGATGCAATTTAAGCATCTGTCAAGCATATGTCATATTCAGATGCTACGTAAATGAATGCTTCAATACTTTGTTGGTCAAAGTCCAAGAAACAGGAAGCTGACCTATGGAACAGCTTCCAGTTTCTGGTATTAGCATGCAAGAAAAGTATTTTACTTGAACTAGAATTTGTTTGACTGATGTATTGGTTCAAGAAGCTGCATAATGTAAAGGATCATGGGAAAGACATATCCACCAGGCCAAAAGAAGAAATATTGCCTTGATCTTATCATCTTACTTTCAAATAGACGACACTTGATGTTCTTATGTATTTAGATAAAGGTCAAAGAATGGATATCTAAAATCACGTGACTGCGACAATCCATAAAATATTTTTTAAAAAAAATAACAGATTTATTCCTGCATTTGATCTATATATCTAATAAGTATACATGTTGGTTTGAGATATTTCTGTATAAAATGTTCACAGTTCTATATCTTTAAGAGTATCATTTCTTTTTGAAAATAACGTCGTCTGTCCTCATTCATCATTTAACAAAATTCTTCGTTTTCCCTAATTTTAGACAGTGAACTAAAGAACTTTTGTTATTTTAAAGCTCCTCTAGACATGTAGGAGCCTTTTGTTATTCTATACGCTACCAATTCAGCCTATATTATTCTTCTTAAATTTGTCATCCAGTTGCCATCAAAAGGCTAAACAATTTAAAATTCTGTCGTCTGTCCAGTTTTGTGTTTCTGAAAGTAAGTATACTTTAATCATGTCATCTAACCAATTAATTTAGGACTGGTTTATTCATATTTTCCGTATACCGTTAGTTTTTATTATTTTTAAGCTAAATTTTTGCTGTGGGGGTTGACAGTATCTGTTGTTTATAATTTGGGTTTTTGAAGACTAATAATTTCTGTCATGAGAAGGTAGCTGATTTCTTAAGGGAAAGAATGGAATTCCTAATTCTTTTAAATATTTGGTTTTATAAAGCATTGATTTAGTAAGTTCTTTTGTGTGATAACTTATATGTGCCATAACTGAAAGTGTCCGTCAGAAATGTTTAATAAGTTGATGAGTACAGTTAATTTTAACTCAGTATAAATGACATTTATGACAAAGTTTGAAGTTTTTGTTCGAATAGGTATTTATCGATAAATGTATTCTGAGATTAACAAATTGCTGATGATATCTGATTTAGTATTTATTTAAAAGTGTATCTCTTGATTTTTTAAAATTTATTTATTCCATTATTATTATCTAGTATATGAGGTGAATGTTCATGCAGAGTTCAGATACACTTTGCAAATTGTAAAAAAATATTTGGTTGATCTTTACATTATGGTAACTTGGCGCTTTTTTGGCAAAAATTTGGCGACCAACTCTCCTACAGCAACCCTCTATTTTTTTCCCCGCCGCCATTTCGTCTTCACGAAGTAAAGACATGTTTCTTTTCTTTTTATCTACTGAACACTTCTTCCAACAATCTACTAGCTGAATTACACTTATGCTAGAAATTTTATCTAACAAAACTGCTTAATCGTGACAAATATTCACTGCAAAATTGGGAAAAAGTGCACAATACCATACTCCTTACACGTTTTTTCAAAATAACACATACACATAAACCATGTAACGCCGACTTATTTTTACTTAAAAAAACATCCCAGAATTACACAAAAATGGCATTGCGCACACTCTTCACTATATCCATGTACACTGCTTTTTTCTCATAAATTAGAAAAATTTCACGAAAAATACATGACAATTTTCTCAATCTTTAAACCCGGTAAAAAGAACATATATGAAATTACCTGATCGCGAAAAAGTTTATACCCTTTCCAAATATGAAATAAATAAATTTCCACATATAAAATAAATAAAATATCCAAAAACTTTTACCTCTAAATCATCTATTATATTATATACACGTCACCAACGAATTCATACCGCAAGCATTACAAATACTTAGTGTCAAATATTTAAATTATTTCCATGCGCGTTTACTTCAACTTAAACGTATACCAAATTCCTACAAACATAAAATTCACAAATAAACTATCATTTAATTAAAATATCACTAAACCCATGTACCACGTCGACTTATTTTTACTTAAAAAAACATCCCAGAATTGCACAAAAATGGCATTGCACACACTCTTCACTATATCCATGTACACTGCTTTTTTCTCATAAATTAGAAAAATTTCACGAAAATGCATAACAATTTTCTGAATCTTTAAACCTGGTAAAAGGAACATATATGAAATTACCTGATCGCAAAAAAGTTTATACCCTTTCCAAATATGAACATTTCCCCGTATAAAATAAATAAAACATCCAAAAACTTTTACCTCTACATTATCTATTATATTACAAACGTCACTAACTAATTCAATCCGCAAACATTACAAATGGTTACAAATACTTAGTGTCAAATATTTAAATTATTTCCTTGCACGTTTACGCAAATTACTTGACTTCCACCTTGCATTTAGAACAATGCATAAAAATAATATCCTCAAATAATTAAAAATACTAACTTACCTAATCTTCTTCAGAATCTTGATTACGTGTCCGATAAACTTTTCTTATTTCTGTTTCAGGATCTTTAAAATCATACTTATAGTTCACACCAAGATACCAGGTAAAATAAATAACTTAATAAAACATCTTTACTTCTATCTCGCACAACCTTAAAGAAACACTTATTACTACCTCTTTCAATCCCACTAAATACCCATTTCGAATTCACTTTAGTTAGGGCCATGGGATCCAAAAATTAACGAACACTGTTTCACACAACACAGAATAAAGCCAAATACAAAATTTCCAGATTTTTTCCCGATTTCCCACCTTTTCCGATTAAAGAACCGTAATTCGTCCATTAATATCACATGACATATCCCATGATCTCTTTTCCCTCACACAAAATAATGCGTAATCGGAACTGAGTACTGCTCACATTATTACCAAAGTCCCAGGTAGTAACCTTTATCGCCTCCAAAATGTCGCCAAACTACCAGTTACCATATTCTAAAGATCAGCCGAATATTTTGTGTAAATATGCTTAGTGTATTTCTGTTTGACATAAAACACTGTATGTATTATTATTGATTTTAATTAAATTCATAATTATGACTAAATGTGGAATTTTAAGTGTAAAATTAAATTCTATGATACCAGATATGAGAGTTTTATCTGATAGCAGCGTCAGATGAGGCTAACAGGAAACGGAAATTTTCTGTGTTTGCCGAAAGTCCATTTTGTCAGTTGATATTGATGGCTTAAAAACAGCTGAAACAATCATAAATGTAGGATTCATACAAATATATATATATATAAAAGACTGATAAACTCATTGGAAGATTTAAGGACATTCCAATAAAAAGTTGAAAGAAACTAATGGTAAGTGTATTAAACTCACTCATCAAAAACTCATAATGATTGAATCTATTTTTTTATTTTATACCATAAATGTGGGGATTTCCATATCTCATGACCTCAACGATTTGATAATGATGCTGACATCTTTATGCAAGTCTCATGCTATTTATTAAGTTAATATCTTTCACATGAACGTCCTCACATATTGATGAAGGTTGCATACTTCATGATATGATGCTCTATTTGAAAAAAGATGTTGGCATCTTCATGTAAGTTGGCCATATTGGTCAGACCAACCCTAACTGCCCCTGTCTGACTGTGTATTTCTTTGGTATTCTACACCTTTAAGTTACCACATATGAGTAAAAACATCATATGGTTTATGGGTTTTGAATGAATTTCTGTGTATTTTATAAATTTTTGATTTTATATTATCTTAAACAGTCATTTTTTGGGAGTTGGACTATATTTTATTTAATTGGATTTTAATTAGTTTTAATTTCATTGTTGTTTTCTGTGTTCATATGCATATTTACTATGTGCATACTAAACAAACATGAAAATATATTGTAATAAATATTCATAAATTAATTAAAATAAGACACTGTTTTGTGTAATTTTACCTTTTGTTCCTTCATTTTGTTATTGATAAAGCCTGTAAAATCTGTACACAGATTTGAAATCTGCATTGACTGCAGTTTCATAATTATCAGTGCTTAAAAATCTTATGTCTTTAATTGTCATTTTGCATGTTTATTTTGTTGATGGGTAATGGAAGATTAGAGATCACTCCATTTTATGTAATTTTTTTTTCATTCAGAAATTTTTTTTGTTAAACACTTTAATGACTGAACTTATTACTGCACTGTTCTAATATGAAATATTTTGAAGACTATCATAAATTAGAGATTCTCCACAAGTAATAGTAAATAATGTTTTTGTATAACTTCATATGTGAATTTAAGAAGAATATTGTATAAAAAATTTTATTTCAATGTAATTGTTGCACATTTAGCTAATGGGTAGTATTTAAATCATTGAAACTAATAAAATCACTCTCTTTACTCTCGTTGATCATATTTATACTGTTAGTAATTTAATTTGATATTTAAATTCATATTCACTAATTTAATCTTACTAAACTAAATACTGGCATTTAGCTAACATATATTTTGTTTAAAATTGGAATATGTTAGAAATGCTAATGGATAATTTGTTTTTTAATTTTACTTACTGAAAGTTGAAGTTTAGTTGTATTCATGTAAAATAATTCACTTTGTAAAAAATAAATTCTGTCATTAATTAAGTAAAGCAGTTTAGAATAATTCTTGCAGTTTGAAATATTTACATAAATGTGGCAACCATACATGTGCACATATATATCCTTCACATTATCCTTTGCTTAGTTTTTGAATTTTGAGCATGCATCAATTTTTTTTATTATTATTTAAAAGGAAGCAAATTAAGATATTTTTATATGTTTTTAACAGAACTTGTGCTTTCTGCGTTTTAAAATTGATTCTCTTTTTAAATGTAATAGTGGGAATTCTTTCTTAATTTGCCATGAAAATGATAGATGCCTGAAACTTCATTTTTGATAGTGAGTGGTAAGTTTATTAATTAATATTTAAAAAACTAAGTGTTAATATTTGTATTGAAATTAATATTTCTGTTGAAAATATTTTAAAATATAAAATGTAAGTATGAATGTATTTAAACTGTCCTTGCATATCCTTCAAAATTATTTGAATAAATAAATTAAAATTTGCACAAGTTTTTGACTCCTCAGTAAAATTGAATTTTTTATTATTCTGCATGTTAAAATTTTTTTTTTATTGTTGATAAATTTGAGCTCTAGTGATAACAAAAATTTTATTGAGAGAATTATGTATTTTAGTTGCAGGAAGTATAAATATATTCATGTTGTGGGTAAACAGTTATGATGGAAACTGATATTCAAAAGCAGATGTTTTGTTTTCATAACTTTTTTCTGGTTTCCTTGCAACAGTTTGATAGTCTTTAAATATCTTCCAATGAGCAAAAATTATTTCAAAACGTTTAGCTATTTTGCTACTTCCTTAATTAATCTGCCCTGCAAGTAAGAACATTAAATGCTATTGGATATGCTTCTCTTATCGAGGCCAGCTTCAGAAATGTATGTATGTGCTTATATGTGTGTACACACACACACTTGCATCATTTGCGTATCTGTACGTGTATTACATGAACACATCCATACATACATTTCTGAATCCGGTCCTCATAAGAAAATAGTACCGGGTATTGATTGGTTAGTTGATATCTGATCTGTCTGAATGGCTTTTTCCACTTGTATTATGTAATTTACAAAATCTGGTAATTACAAATGACATTAAATTCAACATTAAGGAAACACAATGATTCCCCCTTCCCTGCAATCTCATTGTTACATTGTGTCATTTCCTCAGTTTATTTTTTGATTTATTCATTTTTTTGGGCTAATCACTCTTGTGCTCTTATATTTTGATATAACTTTAAATGATACAGCCTTTAATTGTTTTTATTTTAGCTATTTATGTATCTAAAATATAACTAATCAAAGACTCAAAAGTTTTAGTTAACAACAAATCTACTCTTGGATCTTGCAGATATTTACTTAATGGCATTTATTTATTGTCCCAGTCAACTGGTAAATTTGCTATTTTTGACTTGTCAAAGTATTTAGTCAATGGTGAGTTGTAATTAGCAACATGTTTCAGATAAGAAAGAAAATAGTTAGTTTAATTTTTTTTTCCATATTTAAAAGCTAATAAATCAGTTTTGGCAGACTGTGTGTGTGTTGACGTATTCTTTTAACTGATGAAGATTTTTTTCGGTACTTACGTATTAACGCAACCAGGCCAAAATTCGCATAAATCGCCAAATTTGGCGACCCTACTTACGGCAACCTTATGTTAATTTATTAAAGCGAGGTGTGCGTAGTTCGTAGATTCGTTCGTTGCCTACATTGTGCCATTTGTAGATGTTTTTTTAAGTTAAAACATGTTGCTGTGTACATGGATTCTTGTCTATATTTCGAACTTTAAGCCTAAAATGTCTCCAAAAATGCAGTTTTCGCACATGCAAAAACTACGTTTTGAACACACGATTTAAGCTAAAAATCCGAAACAAAAACAAAAAATTTAGATAGCAAAAACATAAAGTTTCTAACCAAAAATATTTGACAAGAATCCATGTACACAGCGACATGTTTTAACTTAAAAAAACATCTACGAATGGCACAATGCAGGCAACGAATGAATCTACGAACTACGCACACCTTGCTTTAATAAATTAACATAAAGGTTGCCGTAAGTAGGGTAAACAAAATAATATAAAAAACTGTATTAAAAATTATCTGTAATTAATATGTACATTTTCTTTCTATTCATACTTTTTTACTCAAACTTACAAATCGCGCCAACCTGGTTGCGATAATACGTAAGTACCTTTTTTTCTCCTAAATGTTTATGAGTGCACTGTTTCCTTTTTAAAGATGAAAAGTAATTTTGAACATTTTGAATAAAGCCACAATATTGCTTTGCTTCTGAATAAGCCTTTGCAGCTTAGTTCTTAATTAAATTCTAGGAATAACTAGAGACTGGTATACAATGTGCGAAGATATTATTTTTTGAACCTGTAGACTTTAATGGAACTTTTTATATTGGTGGTATTATTATAGCTTTGCCTCTTGCATTTTTTTAAGCCCAAAGGTAGCTGTAAATATGGTGGTAAAAAATTGCCAAACTGTAATGGTTGCATAATGCCAATGAATAATCCATTTTGTATAATGAATGATTAATCTTTCTCCATTGTTGAAATTTGAATATGTACCTAAATATAATTAACTCTTTAAGGGCATTGCCTTATTTTGAATTGAATATTTTTATAAAAGGAATAATTTCTTTAGCTTCTGATGTTAATATTTCTCTGATTTTATTATGCATTAATGCTCATAAATGATTAATTAATTTAAGACAGAAGATATAATTTGCTCCACCAAAACCACAGTGTACATTTCAGTGTAATGTTTAAAAAAATTATCAAAATCACTTGAGTAATGTGAACATGGTAAATATACCTAATTCTGTTTTTACACAACAGATACATTCTTAAACAGTACATGTAAAAAAAGATATTTTATGTATAAGAGAAAAATTAATTGGTTCCATATCTAAAAAATCAGCAAAAACAGTAAAAAAAGGATATTTGAAATATTTTATATTTTAAGCTTATTATTTTATTTCAGTAAAATACTTGTATAATTAAAATGTGTTAAAAGTAAATTTGCATTTGAAATGAAAAAATTCATGAACAAAACAGCCAAAAAAAATCTTTTTTACACATAACAAGCTTTTATTTATTGTCAATTTCTGACAGTAAACAGCACATACATTCAACTTGTCATGGTTACCACTAGAAATAATATAAATGTCGTATTCTTCCTCTATTAATGAAATTCTTTCTCATGAGCAAAAGCAGCACAAATCTTCCAAGACTTCTCTGGAGCTGATGTTTCACTGATTTTACAAAAGATTTAGTTATTAATCATTGTATACATGTTTTAGTTAGGCTGTTGTATAATTCTCTGTAACAGGCTCTCAATATCTTCAGCTCATGTTGAAAATGCCTGGTGTATTCCTCATTATATGATTGATTGTTGAGTCCTCCATCGATTGTGTGGGTCATTGTAATGATGCTGGGAAATTTGGTTATATTGAGGATGATGGAGTCTTTGCTTTTTACATATTGTGGCCAAAACACTTTTCAACATACATTCAAAGCTGTTGATTTTAATTAATCAGGTCATCCAACTTGTACTTGCAGAAAATTTGTACTTTCTGTTTCACTCTGTTTCTTTAATCTGTCTATAAATTCTTAGTGCTTTTGGCTTGGTGTCATTTCCATCTACTGGTATTCGTTTTTGTGACTTATCTTCTGTTCATATTATCAGGGCGTTATCCATTTTTTCCTTGACAATATCTCTTGCATATGATGATGTTAACAGTTACTTTTTTTTTTTTTTTTTTCAGAATATATACCAGCTTCCAAATTGCAGCTTCATTTTTTTTAAATTGTTCTTACAATAGCTTCATATACATCAAAATGCTTTTCTACAAACCTTCTCCAGTTATAAGACAATCTAAAATTTGAATTTTAAATTCTGAAGAAATTATTTGCTTTAGTGTTTGGGTAACAGGTGAATTATGTTACATTATATAAGAGCTATGAAAAAATATCTCAGTTATTATTAATAAAAAAGGTATGAAAAATTTGTACTTACAATTTATTGACTTTTGGAAAATTAATAAATGAATTTAAATTTCACTGAAGATTCTTTCATTTTGAAATAGAGCTGCATATCAGATATCTCCTGAAGATACAAAATGTTGGTTTCAATTCCAAATTTGTGCAGCTTTGAAAGAAAATAGAAACTAATACATTTAGACTTGTGACTTACTACGTAACATGGGGAGGTGCTTCATTTACCTCTGCTAGCTCTAATGTAATCTATTCATGTATGTGTGTATTACTATTGAATTGAATTCACTTACTGTTGTTGATAGCATTTAGTCAGCAATGGAATAATACCGCAAAAGAATAAATGCACCACATATATTATAGAAATAATGCACTCTTTAAAATTCACTATCCTTATTTACCATAGCAAACTTTGGTGCTAGGCTCTTTTAACAGCGTTACATATCGGTCACAACTCAGAATGTACAAAATTGCATCATGTGCAGAATTAGCTAATCGTTGCCACATGTTCTATTCAGAAACTATAATAAATCTAAAAAGAAATTAAACAAATAAAAAAATAGTTTCTCATGGATGATGCAGTGCCGCTTTTAGTGTGCATGCGCTATACGTATACATTTTCTTTTGTCGCGGACAGACAGACGCTAGTATTTCTGCTAATACAAAACACTCCCGGCATTGAAATGAACAATTTCAGAACTATTACAGTAGAAAGTTCGAGATCCGGACTCATTGGGACTTTGGCGATTCTAGATTTGGGATTTTTCTAGATATTAGATCATCAGTTTAAAACTAGTAAGATGGCATGTAGAAATTATAGAATTAAAAATATGAAATCATGATTTATGAAATAATGAAACATTCATGATCTAAAGGGTAACAAAATTTGCAAAAGAAAATCTTAATATTTATTCATTTGCTTATTTTATTAAATATTTCTTTCAATGGAAGTTGTTTAAGTTGCTTTTTTATACTAAAATTTTCTCTTTAATTCTGTAGACAGACTTAATTTCTTATTCAGGTTCAAAGCTCCATTGTTCAAGTCCTGTAATTACTGAGTCGAGATTTCCAACTAGCTTGCCAATCAGAATTTTTTCGTTTTCAATAACCTCTGTGTCACTTTCTTCGCTATCGGTAGCGGTATTTTTTGGGTCTAGAACCATACTACAAATTTCACTGTTTGTTAATTGATTAATGATTGGGGCATTATCATCGCAATGGAAAACTGCTGTTATATCATCTTCACTCATTACTACTTCTCTACAAAATGCATTATTTGGAAAATTTCACTTTTGGTTTGTAATATTCACAAAACCTTCACATTCGT